TTCACCATGTTGACCAGGATGGTCTCGATCTCTTGACCTCGTGATCCACCCGCCTCGGCCTCCCAAAGTGCTGGGATTACAGGCTTGAGCCACCGCGCCCGGCCCAAATTTGTACTTTATTTGTTCAGTTTCTTTTGTGTTTCGATACATAATTAGGGTTGAGTGACATTATTCTAGACCAATGGCATGCAGTCCTATCTGCTCTGAGAATTATCTGGGGAGCTTTAATAAATACTGATGCTTGGGTGCTACCTCTGTGATTGTTACTTATCCTGTGAACAGATGTGTTTTTTTTTTTCTTTTTTACTTTTTATTTATTTATTTTTTTGACAGAGTCTTCACTCTGTTGCCCAGGCTGGAGTGCAGTGGTGTGTTCTTGGCTCACTACAACTTCCACCTTCTGGGTTCAAGAAATTCTGCTGCCTCAGCCCTCCATGTAGCTGAGGTTACAGGCACCTGGCACCACGTCCAGCCAATTATCGTATTTTTAGTAGACAGGGTTTCACCATATTGGCCAGGCTGGTCTTGAACTCCTAATCTCAAGTGATCTGCCCACCTCGGCCTCCCAAAGTGCTGGGTTTACTAGTGCAAGCCACTGCATTTTGGGAGTACAGATGTTTTTAACAGCTCCCCCAGTAACTCTGATGTGCATCCAGGGCTGAGAACCCTTAGTCAAGATAACCACTGCATTCCGCCAAGTTCTAACAGTATGTGTATGAAAACAACAAATCACAAGCATGCTGTCTATGCCTCCACCCTCTTATAACATTTATTAACAAGTCATTTCCATTTTATAGCTATGTTTATGTAATGACACCATCGGTTGGGGTGAATGACAGAGAAAAGGCAACTGGTGTAGTGACAATATCACTAGCTTCTGCACACTGATTTGTAAAGAGTTTCTCACTGTTGATCTTGTCTATGAGAATCCTAGATTATTGTTCAAGACCTTACCCTGCCACAAACCCCGTAGCCCTGCACAAGCAGGTTAACTTCTCTAATTCTAATTTGGCTCATTCATAATTAGTTGATTAATATCAAAGGAAATTGCAGATGTAATTCTAAGATTGTGTGATTCTTTTCTTTAATTCACAGAATATGATTTGATGGAAAATAAAAACCTAATTTCTTTCAGGCTTATAAAACATTCTTTTCACTTTTATTTGATCTTCATGTTTAAAAAGGCCAGTGATTGATGACTTTGTTGTGTTCTCATCTTCTTACAACACATTCGTGATCTGCAGAGGAATTATCAGAAGCTGAGATTTAAAACTGAGATCCTCTTACAGCATAAAGCTTAGTGCCTGGCTCAGAACCCAGTGCTTTGGGAGCCTGAGGTGAAAATGTACAAGCATACATACAAGAACTCACCCATGGTATTTAGCTTTAACCTTTATGTACCCCAGACAGCAGCAGAGCTAGTAGCAGATGGAAAATCATTCATTGTGTCATCATTTATGCATTCTGTTTTCCATTCATTCATTCCACACACATATTCCAACATATACTCATATTAGGTACTGATTTCAGCTCCAGGGTATGTGTTTGGGATGAGACAGATGCCATGTAGGCCTTCATGGAGCATTTTAGTTAGCTGTAAGGAAGAATTCACTCAGTTTTTCAAATGGAATTCCACTGATGCCTAACGGCCATCAGTTCTCTGGGGGATTTTTAGATTGTATATGTTCATTTTAATGATTATCTAAAAATCATAACATAATCATATTCTGAACCATTGGGAAGATAACCTAATAACCAAGGATGTGATTTTAGGGCCTAAGTTTTGGTGTTTCATTGTGGTCACTTTGGTAGCACATATTACTAATTTAATTGCTATTGAGCAAAAAGAAAATAAATGGAGTAGGTCTTATCTGTAGGGAATACAGCATGTCTACATGATGGCCAAATGAAGTAAAAATAGGGGCTGTACCATTATCTGAACTGAGCTGGGCAATGGGGGGTCTGTATCACATGGCTATGGCAGACTAGAGATGCTGTGCTCAGGAGACCTTGTACCAGAGCCCTTGGTATCACATTCATGAGATTTAGTTTAAGGCAAATCATCATCCTTTGTAGTACTTTGTTATTTTCCAGTTTGAGTGATAGGCGTTTTCTAGCTTTATTTAATTTTAAAATTTGTTTTGGCTTTAGAATTGGATAGAAGTGATATGTTTATCTAGATTTGTGTTGGCACTTAATTAGTAATTTTAGTATAAAGATAATTTGTGTCAACAGCAGGGACTTGGAAAACCTTCCTTATTTTAAAGGGCATCAACATATTACTTTATAATATATTGACAGATATTTTTCTGATGTCTCTCACTCTACTGTGCTTAGCATGTAACTAGTTCATACTCTAATTAGTCTACAAGCTAATGTTCACATTTTACTTGACTTTGACCCTCCTTTATGTTTCTTAAATAAGTTGGATGAGAACATTCAACTCACAAAGACTAACTCAGGGGGCAGTTAGGTATTTACTACACTATCGCTTGATGAAGATTCCCAAATCAAGTGGGATTTCAGCTGTGTGTCTGCAAGGACCCCTTTTAAATCTGAAATAGAGGAGTGGTCAGAGCTGCCACTGTTGCCACTGACTGGCAATACAGAATGATTGTGTTTGATATTTTTTAACCTCCCAAATAAATTGCCTGAGTAATATTTTTATATTACTAAGGTGAACTGCTGGGGTTAACTTATTTTCTTCAGTAATTCTAAATTTTTCCTTCAGTTTGATGGGTCTTTGAGCATCTGCCCCACAAAGATGTTGGAATTCTGAGTCACTTGGAAAATGGCCTCCTAGGAGTCCCTTTCCTCCCAGTATGTTTGTGGCTGTGACTGTGGCTGTCTCAGTGCACATCAGAAGTGATAGCTGTGTCATATGAGAGGGCTCAAGCAAGCATCCAGAGAAGTCACTTTTGTCCAGAGGAAACAGATTTTTAGAGTTGTCGGAGGTTGTAAATGTAAAGACGGCAGCCAGCCATATCTCTTCATCAGTTGATTTTTTCCCCTTTATTTTTTTCCTCTTCTCTCAGCAGTTTAATGTGAGTGCTTCTCTCTCGCCTTGTTGATTTCAGATGCCTCAGGAACAGTACACTCACCACCGGAGCACCATGCCTGGCTCCGAGGGGCCACAGGTATACAAGGTGGGGATTTACGGCTGGCGGAAACGATGCCTGTATTTCTTTGTCCTGCTCCTCATGATTTTAATACTGGTGAACCTGGCCATGACCATCTGGATTCTCAAAGTCATGAACTTCACAATTGTAAGTAAAACCACCTAGGTTTGTTTAGCTCTCTTTGCGGAAGGGAAACTTGGGGCAAGATGGTGAAGGAAAGTGGAAAAGCGATGTCGTTATAGCAGGACTCAAAAGTTCTGTAACCTCCTCGTATTTGGTGAAAGAGCATTTCTGTTCAGATTGAATATGGATATTGACTTCTATCTAATCTTAACTCTCCAGGGGCTGGTAATCCAACTTAAAGATATTTCCCTCCTTTAGAATCTCCTGTATATTATCCCTCCGTTTTGATAACTGTTTCTGTAGCCTGTAGCTTTCAAGCACTTTGATTAAATAATGAAGGAAGAAATAGAGAATAAATTCAAAGTATTAAGTTTTCACCAATTGTAGTGATTACAAAAGGTTTGATTAAGTAGAGAGTTGAAACATTTGCATAAAATTAGACTATGGGCATTACGTATCTAAAAATTTTAACTATATATGCTTGATTATCCATCACTCTGGTTAGTTAAGAATATCGTCCATTTTTTGGAGGATGATTCTCTTTGCCACTGGTCTGGATAAGATGGAAATGAGAGGAATGTAGCTGTATTTTAATTTTTTAAGAATTTATATTTATGTTTCTTCAATGAAATTCCTGCTATTGGTGTTTTGGTCCCTGTACACACTGGGCATTTACTGTTGAAGTTCAAATGAAAGAAAATCCTGGAAAAATGACTTTTGGAGTTCTTCTGAGGTTTTATACTTAGAAATTCTGATCTATGCTAGCAATATAAGTAGTCTACCTCATTAATGAGGAAATAATGGGCAGCAATCTGCTATGCTGAAGACAATTTCCTTTCTTGTTCTGATTTCAAAAGTAAATATTATAGATTGGCAGTAAAAACAAATCCTAGGTCAGGCACATTGGCTCATGCCTAAATTCTAGCACTTTGGGAGGCTGAGTTGGGAGGATCACTTGAGCCCAGGAGTTTAAGATCAGCCTGGGAAATAGCAAGATGCATCTCTGCAACCAAGCAAACAAACAAACAAAACCCAAAACCCTTTCATTTGATAAATAAATATGACCTTACCTAATTACAAGTCAAGTTTTCATGTGACAGTCCTAAATGTCATAGTGGATATTTACATTTTCCAAATTACAAAGTTCATTTTTATCCTTGAAACCCTATGCATAGTCACTTTCTTGCCTTTATTCATACATTTTCTTCTGCTGGGAGTGCTTTGCTCCCTTCCCTGTCTGATAAAACTTGTCGTGATGCTCCTGTAGTTCCATTCATGTATTTTTTATTATATTTACCACTCGGATAATTTTTATATGTATTTCCCAGACAAACTGAACTTTGAGAAAGGCAAAGGCTGCATGTTTTCTGTGTGTGGCTTTGTCTATCACTCATGTTAGGGCTTCTTGGTGCTAGACTTAATCAGGACTCTATAAACCAAAGTTATAGATACTGCTTCAGGCATCAGAATGGCTCACTTTTTAGTATTTGTGGTTAAAGCTAGGAAACTATAAAATCAAAAATGTTACCTTGATGTTACAAATTTCTACCTTGAGAGGAGAAAATAATTCAGTTTTTTTGAAAATTTTTTTTTTCGTTATGTATTTATTTACAGGAAGGGTCTCACTTTCTCATGGAGGCCAGAGGGCAGTGGTGTGATCATAGCTCACTGCACATGGACTCCTGGGCTCAAGTGATACTCCCATCTCAATCTCCCAAGTAGTTAGGACTACAAACACACAGCACTATGCTTGGCTGATTTTTAAATTGTTTGTAGAGATGGGGGTCTCACTATATGGCCCAAGGTGGTCTCAAACTCCTGGCTTCAAGCAGTTCTCCTACCTCAGCCTCTGAAAGTGCTGGGATTACAAGCATGACCCATCATATCCAGCTAAGAATTCAGTTCTTTTGAAAAATACAGAATAACTTGTATATTGCTGTAGTAACTTTGGAAGACTATATGGTCAGTCTCTATGGGGTTATAGGCATCCAAGGCAATAGTTCTAGAGTATTAGAGCACATTAGCTTCTGTTTCTGGATCAGACTCAATCAATACTTTTCAACTTGGACTTTCTTTAAATACAAGCAGAATTCAGAGAAATGTTTAAGCAGGAGAGAAAGATGTAATTAGGTTTACATTATAGAGAGCTTGCGTAGGTGAGGAAGCAGTAGAATGGGGAACGTTTGTTATAGCTGAGGGCTCTGGAGAATGCCCTGGGTCCATTCGGCCTTAAGTCCCAGTGACCACAATTGCCATCTGTTAATGTGCATGTTCTGTGATGTTCTTAATTTGTATTTCAAAAACTTGTAAATTAGGAAAGCTTCTCTGTTGCAATATTAAACAGCAGAATACAAAAGCTAGGGCAGTAGCATAGACAGTAAAGATTAAAAATACGTTTAAAAGATGGAATTGATATACCTTGACTTCTGGTTGGTTGTAGGGTTGAGGGATCAAAAAACATTTTGGAAGATTTCCGCTTTTAGGGTAGTGAGATGCCTGGGTGATGGGGCCTAAAAAGCAAGACAGAGTTTATGACTTTTCCACTGGAACTTGGCTAGTACCCATGTATACCCCTAATCCCCTATGTGAAGCTATCCTCTTAATGCCTTATTTTTGTGATTTTTATCAAGGCTGTCATTAATTTATAGAACCGGTAAGATTTAGGGGTAGAGGAAGTGGAAAATATGAGCTGAAACTTCGATGACTGTGATACTATACAAATATGGCTTCTAGACTGTGCTTTATCTGGAAAGCTTAATAGAAGTATATGTAAATGTATATGGAGCACCACTTATATGACATTAAGGTAATAATCTATATGAAATCGGCTCTTTCCTGTAGTTAACTAAATTGATTGCTGAAGTTGAGAGTCCTTAAAGCTTTACCAAACCAAGTACTTACTGAGGTAAGAATAATGCTGCTATTAGCCATAATTGGTGCTTTATAGCCGTAATGCATTTGAGCAAATAGAACTGAAGTGTTAGAAAATTGGTCTTGCCCTGCAAGTTAAAAGCATATTTTCCATCAATCACAGTATAAAGGATATCCTTTTAGAATTATAATTCTCTTTCACAAATAATAATTTACCGACAATGATGATCGTAGGGAAAGAATGAGGTATTAAGCAATGTTATATTGGAGAAAAAAAAAAAAAAAAAAAAGTAAATGTGATAGCAGTAAAGTAGTTTATGCAGAGATTTAAAAATACAAGCAGGGAAAGTCCTAGCCAGAGCAATCAGAAATGGGAAAGAAATAAAGGGCATATAAATTGGAAAGGAGGAAGTCAGACTGACTGTTTGCTGATTATATGATTGTATACCTAGAAAACTATAAAGACTCCTCGATCTGATAAAATTCAGTGAAGTCTCAGGTTACAAAATCAATGTACACAAATTAGCAGCACTGCTGTATACCAGCAGTGACCAAGCTGAGAATCAAATCAAGCACTCAATCTCTTTTACAATAGCTATAAAAATTTAAAATACCTAGGAATATACTTAAGCAAGGAGGTAAAAGATCTCTTCAAGGAGCAACACAAAATACTGCTGAAAGAAACCATGGAAGACACAAACAAGTGGAAAACCATCCCATGCTTATGTTGTTGAAAGACTCAACATCATGAAAATGACCATACTGCCCAAAGCAATCTGCCGAGTCAGTGTACTTCCTATCACAATACCAACATTATTTTTCACGAAATTATAAAAAACATTCCTAAAATTCTTATGGAACCAAAAAAAAGCCCAATGGCCAAAACGATTCTAAGCAAAAAGGACAAATCTGAAGGCATCACATTACCTGACTTCAAATTATACTGCAAGGCGATAGTAATCAAAACAGCATAATACTGGTATAAAAATAAACACAAAAACCATTGGAACAGAAGAGAGCACCTAGAAATAAAGTCTTATATTTAAAATCAACTGATCTTTTACAAAGCATGCAAAAACATGAATTGGAGAAATCTAATAAATGATGCTGGGAAAATGGGGTAGCCACACGTATTAGAATGAAACTGGATCCCTTTCTCTGATGGTGTTGAAAAAATTAACTCAAGGTGGATGAAAGACTTAAAGACCTGAATAATTCTAGAACATAAAAGTTCTAGAAAAAAATATCTAGGAAAAGCACTTCTGGATATTGACCAAAGAATTTATGACTAAGACCCCAAAAACAAATGCAACAAAACCAAAAATAAATGGAATCTAATTAAACTAAAAAGCTTCTGCACAGTAAAATAAATAATAATCAGAATCAACAGACAACCTATGGAGTGAGAGAAAATATTTGTAAATTTTGTGTCTCATGAAAGGACTAATATTCAGAATCAACAAGGAACCCTAAATAAGCAAGAAAAAAAAAACAATTTCATTAAAAAGTGGGCAAATGGCATGAATAGACATTTCTCAGAATAGTTGATAAGTAGCCAACAAACATATGAAAAAATGTGCAACATCACTAATCATCAGGGAAATGCAAAGTAAAATCACAATGAGATACCACCTTACCCCAGCCAGAATGGCTATTACTAAAAAGTAAAAATAATAATAATAATGATAATAATAATAGATGTTGGTGTGGATGTGGTGAAGAAGGAATGTTTATATACTGCTGATGGGAATGTAAATTGGTACAATCTCTATAGAAAACAGTTTGGAGATTTTTCAAAGGCATAAAGCTAGACCTACCATTTGATCCAGTAATCTCACTGCTGGGTAGTTACCCAAAGGAAAATAAGTCATTATATCAAAAGGAGACCTGTATATGTATATTTTTTGCAGTGCAATTCACAAATGCAAAGATATAGAACCAACCTAAATTCCCATCAACAGATGAGTAGATAAGGAAAATGTGATATACATACACCATCAGCCATAAAAAAGAATGAAATAATGGCTTTTGCAGCAAATTGTATGGAACCAGAGGCCACGTTTCTAAGTGAAGTGACTCAAGAGTCAAAAATCTGATATCACATGTTCTTATGAAAAAGTGGGAGCTAAGCTAAGGGTATGCACAGGCATATA